ATGCCTGTAATCCCAGCACTTTGGGAGGCCGAGGCGGGCAGATCACCTGAGGTCGGGAGTTTGAGACCAGCCTGACCAATACGGAGAAACCAATACGGAGAAAAATTAGCAGGGCATGATGACGCACACCTGTAATCCCAGCTACTCAGGAGGCTGAGGCAGGAGAATTGATTGAACCTGGGAGGTAGAGGTTGCAGTGAGCCAAGATCGTGCCGTTGCACTCCAGCCTGGGCAAAAGGAGCAAAACACCGTCTCAAAAAAAAAAAAAAAAAAAAAATGTCATCAATGAGAAAAAGTCTGAACTCTGCAGTATGACATTCAAGGGTCTCCACAATCTAGCCCCTGTGAGGTTTCTTAGCCGCACTTCTCATCAGTGCTCACTTCACACTTTATATCCTAATAAGGCATGAATATAAGACTAACAACCAAACTGATCTTAATTCACCAAACTTACCATGTAGTTGCTTAATGCCTATAACACCCACCAAACATCATTATTCACCAGGCAAACTCCTATTTGTTCTTTAAAAGCCTCAGACATTTCTTCTAGGAAGACTTCCATCACCCCAAACTCCTCCCCAATATCCATTCCTGCAAATGCCTTACACACATAGTTCAAATGTCACTGTTTATATTGTAACTCTTACATGTCTTTCCCTCCGCAAGTCTCTTAGTTCCTTAAAGGCAGAGCCTTACCTACCTTTATACTCTCTGTGCCTGTGACAGCATCACGTGCCTGGATTATAGTAGATGTTCAACAATATTTACTAAATTCAGTTTGAATAATCTCCGTAATATTTGAAACTTTAAGCAAGACCAGAATTTTAAAAATTCATGTCTAAATTGGGCTTATTTCAATCATTAAAAAACAGACAGTCAAGTTGCAAATGGGAGGTGGGAGTTGCCATTGTTAGAAACCCACCATGAACTATGGACCTCTGGGGAGGATTTTTCTGTACAGAGTTGCTTCTTTCTACTCTGCTTTCTCAGTTTCTGCCTCTTCACATCTTTCATTTGCACATAGTCGGTTCTGGCCTCACCAGACTCTCCCTGCAACTCTTCAGCTTCAGTCACCAGTGCTGACCAATTTCATCTCCATATTATCTTATTCAAACTTCTAAGGATTTTTTTGTATTTGGTTTTGGTTTTTTGGCACCAGGCTAGCATGCTCTACTTTTTTTTCCTCTCTCTGGCCAAGCTATGGATCAGCTGCCCTAGGGTTAGGTGCCGTGGCTGACGCTCCGGGACCAATCAGCTAACATCCCCCCAACTCTCAATTCAAGATTCCTCTTGGATTTCCTCAGAACCATTACTAAAGTATATTGCTAAAATAATCTTGCATTTCTTTCAAAAACAAGTCTTGTCAAGACTTGTTCACAGTGAGAAAAATCCTACACACATCTTCACTGAACCAGCTATTTCAAATATGCAAAGAGTTAACAATCTTTTATTTCTAGATGTGCACAGAAGGAATCCTCTTTATTGTTATTACTGCTTGACAGCAGTGGATTGAAAATAATTTTTACAAGCTTTCTGCAAAAATTTCTGTACATATATAGTGTAAAGAAATGAGCAGTCCAGATGTTGCCCAAGTCTATCCCATAGTATCAAGTAATTTTGTATACAAATAAGCACATACATCGACAGTTTATCACTAACTAACAAAACCTGTTTCTCTTCCTCCAAACTAATACCACTAGGTAATGATTGAAGGCCACTCACTGAAAACCTTCCATACTAGGGAAAGATGGGTGCAGACCATAAGAAGGGCATCTAAGTAAGACTTGGTGTTCAATAAAATTAAATTTTCAGTGCTATTAATCTCCTGCTTAAAAACTAGAAATTAACTGGCTGGGCACAGTGGCTCATGCCTGTAATCCCAGCACTTTGGAAGGCCAAGGCGGGTGGATCACTTGAGGTCAGGAATTCAAGACCAACCTGGCCAATGAGGTAAAAATTCATCTTTACTAAAAATATAAATAAAAAATTAGCCAGGCATGGTGACAGATGCCTGTAATCCCAACTACTTGGGAGGCAGAGTCAAGAGAATCACTTGAACCTGGGGGGCGGAGGTTACAGTGAGCTAAGATCATGCCATTGCACTCCAGCCTGAGCTACAGAGCAAGACTCTGTCTCCAAATAAATAAATTATATTAAATAAAAACTAGAAAATAATTAAATATTTATTAGAGAGATACCATGTTTTCACTAAGATCAAGTTTAACAGAATAACAACACTATATACATCTTTGAAAGGAGAGGGCTATTTATTCACTTAAAAATGCTGACTATTAAATGAGTCAACATTCACTGGAAAGAAACAGTATTAGAGAAGGGTAGGGGGGCCAAGGTACAGTGGCTCACACCTGTAATCCCAGCACTTTGAGAGGCTGAGGTGGGAGGATCACTTGAGCCCAAGAGTTTGAGATCAGTCTGGGTAACACAGTAAGACCCTGTCTCTATTAAAAAAAAAAAAAAAAGGAAAGAGTAGAGGGATAGAGGGAAAGCTATGTAATAATGGCCCTTCAGAAGATCAGAGAGAAAGAAAACTTTTTCAAATGCAGAATGTTCTTATATTTCTTGGTATAAAGGAAGGATTTTCTATTTTAAAATCAGGTAGGTGTTCTAGTTAGCCAACCTGTTTATTAACTATGCTTGTCCATGACTCATTTTAGCTTCATCTATATTAATGAGCAGCTGACTATGTAATACCACAACCATCAGTTTAGACTATATAAACACATAATCTTAACAGATCTCATTTCAGAGGACAGAAAGTTGATACAATTTAGAGTGCTGATGCTGTCTTTAAATGAGGCTTGAAATGAAGGTACCATTAGAAAGTTTTCATTGAGCAAATACCAGCATACAATAGGCAAGAGGTTATTTGTGCCTCAGCAAAATTTCACAGGTTTAAAAAAATAATGTTACCTTGAATGTCTTGAAAAAATTTTAGTAAAACACTAAAAAAGCTGTATGTCCTTATTCTCTTCTTTTTAATAACTGGAGCAATAAGCCAAGAAAAATTGCTATTTAAATTCATGAAGTACAGCAAGACTTGGATTTCTTCTCAAAGGAGAAGCTTACAATGACTTTCATTTACTAACTAGGCCCATTTACATGTGTCAAACTAATAAAAATGGGAAAATAGAAATAAGCACTAATTTCTTACCTTTCATAGACTCATTGGAGAAGATTATCTCAATTTAATAAGTCAAGAATTTATGTTACTGAAAGCCTTAGGGCCAGGCATAGTGGCTCATACCTGTAATCCCAGCACTTTGGGAGGCCGGCTCGAGCAAATCATTTGAGGCCAGGAGTGTGAGACCGGCCTGACCAACATGGTGAAACCCTGTCTCTACTAAAAATACAAAAATTAGCTGGGCGTGGTGGCACATGCCTATAATCCCAGCTACTAGGGAGGCTGAGGCAGGCGAACCGCTTGAACCTGGGAGGCGGAGGTTGCAGTGAGCCAGGATCGTGCCACTGCACTCCAGCCTGGATAACAGAGTAAGACCCTGTCTCAAAAACAAACAAAAATAAAATAAAATGATAAAGTGAAACATCTCACTCATCACATTACAGGTAAGGGTTTTTTTTTTTTAAAAAAAAAAAAAAAAAACAAAGGAAGCTTTTTTCTCACCTTGCAAAGTTCATGGCTGAACATCCTCAAGGCAAAATAGCTCTTGTGACAACTACAAACTTTTTAAAAATATCAACACATTTCTTGGTACTGATTTAAAATCAAAATCTTCTTAATCAATTTTAACTGTGTTTAAATACGAAGGTATCATACTGTCCAATACAACTTCCATATACTACCCCTGCATACTGTCAAGCTAATAATAAACAGGCCAGAGGCTTCATGGCAGCAAACTAGTAAGTCCTTACATCAATCAATATAACATTTAGGGGCTTCGATTTTCTTTGAAATCAAAACAAGAAAGGCAGTTAGAGTTTGCTATCTTCACTGATCCTCTCAGGAATGTAAAAGTATGCACTGCAATTTCAACCTCGCACTGCTTTTTAAAGCAATTTACTTCTACCTGGACAAGCAGTAAGGTAAGCCAAAGAAGCTGGGTTTTGTTACTTCTAGTCTCCAATCTTTATGGTCACACATCTCACGTTTCTACTGCTCCTAAACATAATTATCTCAAAAAAATTTCAAAACACAACTGAATTCAAAGGAAGGGGGGCACTTTGTGTCACTCATAGAAAATGATTTCACACAATGAACTTAGAACTGGGTTATTTCTTGTAACCATAGTAAGGGAGTGAAGATCAGCGAATTGAAAACTGTGCCTAAGCTAGTCTCCTCACTTTGCAGTATCTCACCCTATTAGGTAGTTCTTGAAACAACACTGAGAAAGAAAGGCTCACAAAAATTTGACTTACATATAATACAACTTGATGAGACATAAGTACCCAGTGCACGTCCCTGAAAACGCATCGACTTGACTCTTAAATATAGCCTTATGTCTAATATACTGGTAGTACAGATGCACTTCGTGAACACAACCGTGATGAAGGTAAATCTAAGAGGACCAGAGGCGTTAGGCCTGCTGGTAATCAAAAGGGCCAGCTAACTGAAGCACTCCCGTTTTCTATGCCCACAGCAAACTGAGTTAACTAAGCCATCATAACTTGGAATCCTCAATTCGCAACCTCAAATACACCCAGACTTGAGGATATAAGGCCCCTACAAAGCTCTCAGTAGACGAGTCGCTCGTCCACACCAGGTGCACCTACTCTATTTCTAGGTTCCTCCACGGACCCTACTCTGGCCCCTGCACCACTACACCTGGGGGCGCCCCTAGTCCCGCGTCTCCTTGCTTCGCTCCCACCCCCATCACTCCGTCACTCACCCTGAGTCACCGGAGCCGCCCGCCCGCCCAGCCCAACCCGCCCACAACACCTCCAGCCCCTCACCCTCCCCTCCTCCACACCGAGTGGAGCCGGCCTGTCCCCTCCCGCCCACCGCCCTGCCCCAGGAGACTCACCCGCGGTAGTAAGCTTTCACCCGGACCTGGTGGGAATGGTCCCCGCTGCCGCCGCCTGCCACCGTGTGGGACATGGTGCTGCTGTCCCTCTGGGTCGGCATCTCCTCACTCCCCCGCCTCAACGCTGGGGGCCGGGGGGCGGGGGGGCGCTCCGGACGCCGTGGGGGACTCTGCCGCCCGCGCCTGTCCGAGAGCTGCGACCGCCCGCCCACCTACCTGCCCACCTTGCCCGCAGCGCCGACCCGAGGGTCGCCTCGCCCGAGGAGCCGGAACCGCGCGGCTCCTCCCACTGCCCGTAGGCGCCGCCGCCTCCGCCGCCGCACGGGCCCAGGACACCTCCTGCCTCGATCCCTCCCACTTCGCTCGCTCCAAAGGCCCACATTCCGGGGTAGGGCGGGCGCAACCATCGAGCCAACTCAAGGAGCCTCGATGCCGGACTGAACCATCCTTACGGGGGCAGAGAAAGGGGACAGCGGAAATGGGAGACCCTGATCATGGCATCAATCACGCCCCAGAGGGGTGCTTTCACGCGAGCTGTGATACAGACATGAACAGCTCTAGTTCACTAGAAAGTCCCTTCCCTGTAGGGACAATGATAAGGACAAATTCTGCGACACCTCACCCTAGCCTCGTAACTTGGTCACGTCTGCGGTCGGCCGACTTGGCACCCGGGATAGATTTGCGTGCAGGTTTCTGGGATTTGGAGTCCTCATGGGATTCTGGGACTTGAGGTTCCTTGCGCCTAGGGTGCCGCGCCGTCCCACTGGTGGAGTCTGTCTCCGCAGCGTGCTCCCTGGAGCTCTAGGAGTGGAAAACCTGCATCCAGCTTGGGCATCTGAAAATACTGGGAATGACTGGGCTTCGTCACGTTCTAGACTTTATTATCTGTTAAAGTCTCCCTCCTATTTGCATAAATCGTCTAAATTATACATGCCCTTTTGGGGAACAAGAATTTGGTTACCTGCTCACTCAGCATAACCTTTTTTATGAAAATAATTTAATAACATGTGTAACAAATATATTAAAGGAAGAAACAACCAGAAGATATGAAAAACCTATTTTTATTCTTTGGCGGCCCCCATACCTAGGCACTTGTAGACTACTGCCCTTGCATGGAACAAGAGCATAAGGAATAATTACCCAATCAATTCGGTCAATCTAAGAGCATTTCATTCTGTTAAAAATTGGCTTACCAGGCCGGGCGCGGTGGCTCACGCTTGTAATCCCAGCACTTTGGGAGGTCGAGGCAGGCGGATCATCTGAGGTCGGGAGTTCGAGAGCAGTCTGACCAACATGGAGAAACCCGGCTCTAACTAACTAAAAAAATAATCTGCCCGAGGCGGGCAGATCACGAGGTCAAGAGATCCAGACCATCCTGGCCAACATAATGAAACCCCGTCTCTACTAAAAATACAAAAAATTAGCCAGGCGTGGTGGTGCGTGCCTGTAGTCCCAGCTACTCAGGAGACTGAGGCAGGAGAATTGATTGAATTCGGAAAACGGTAAGTTGCAGTGAACCCAGATTGTGCCACTGCACTCCAGCCTGGTGATAGAGCAAGACACTGTCTTAAATAAATAAATAAATAAATCAAACTGGCTTACCAAGGATTAGAAAGAATGGTCCTTGTAGCCTGGTCTCTGACTTTCCTAGGGTCTTGGCTCTGACACATAATTTACTCTGCAACTAAAAGTAGCATGCATCCAGCCCCTGCAGCAGTCCTGGTGCTGAAAGAGTTGGAATGATCAAAGAAATACCTTTCTTTACGGCGATAAAATAGGCTTGGGGAAGTGAGTCATCAGTTATATGTGACACTTCAGCATGGTACAACATCATCCAACTGCTACAAACTTAGATTATATGCTCCTACTAAAAATTACGCTTGAGTCATGCAAAGTGCTACATGCCTATAGTCCCAGCACTTTGAGAGACCAAGGCAGGAGGATCACTTGAGCCCAGGAGTTCAAGGCCAGCCTGGGCAACGTGGCAAGACCCCATCTCTTAAACAAGTGAACAAAAAATTCTCATTGAAAAACTTGGTATCAGGTTTTTCAGCAATTGGAGACCTGCATCAGCGTGTTTAATACGGAGCAATTAACTATGGAATATACTAACGGAAAGTTTAGCATGCTTGTGACAAATTTGTAATGCTGTAGAAAAAAGAAATGTACGTCATATAGGGAGTGAAAAATTATAGAGAAATGAAGGTAAGACATTGGAAATGTTCGTGATCTTGATTCCTTAGCATTTGAAAAATCCTTCTTCATCGGCTTCATAAAATGCTTTGAAGGTGAGCATTGTTTCCAGAGGAGGCTTACTGCTTACTTTGTCAGCTATGAGAATCTGTACATATTGATAATTTGCATCAATACCACTTTATAAATAAGTTTTCTTTCTCTGAAAGATGGAAGCTTTACTTGTGATTATCAGTGAAAGCATGATATTAAGTTTTGTAATAGCTTTATTGAGATAGAGTTCACAAGCCAGCTGGGCACAGTGGCTCATGCCTATAATCGCAGCACATTGGGAGGCCAAGGCAGGTGGATCACTTGAGGTCAGAAGTTCGAGATCAGCCTGGCCAACAGGGTGAAAACCTGGCCGTACTAAAAATACAAAAATTAGCTGGGTATGGTGGCGAGCGCCTGTTATCCCAACTACTCCAGAGGCTGAGGCACGAGCATCACTTGAGCCTGGAACGTGGAGGTTGCAGTGAGCTGAGACCACACAACTGCACTCTAGTGAGACTCCATCCCTGGGCAACACAATGCACAATGAGATTCCGTCCCATTTTGTTTTAAAAAAAGGTAATCCACATACCATGCAATTCACTCATTTAAAGTGTACAATTGGATAGTTTTTAGTAGCTTCACAAAGTGGGGCAACCATCACCTCTAAACCCAGAATATTTTCAGTACCCCAAAAGAAACTGCATATCCATTAGCAGTTACTCCCCACTGTCCTCAACCTCTAGCAACCAATAATGTCTTTTCTGTTGTTATGGATTTTTCTATTCTGAACATCCCTAGTAGAAGGGACTATAGGCGTGCACCACCACACCCGGGTAATTTTTATGTTTTTTGTAGTGCCAGGGTTTTGCCATGTCGTCCAGGCTGGTCTCAATCTCCTGGACTGCCTCAGCCTCCCCAAGTGCTGAGATTACAAGTGTGAGCCACTGCGCCCAGTGAGGTTTTCAGTTTTTGTTTTTTTAATGTCCTTGCCAAGACTTGTTATTTCCCATCTTCTTTATCATAACCATCCTAGTGGTTATGAAGTGGTATCTCATTATGCTTTTGATGTGAGTCTCCCTAATGACTAATGATGTTGGGTATTTTTTCATGTTTCTATTGGCCATTTATATATCTTCTTGGAGAACTATTTATTCAGATCCTTTAGTCATTTTAAATTGGGTTGTCTTTTTTCATTTTGTTGTACGAGTTCTCTCTTTTCTTTCTTTCTTTTTTTTTTTTTTTCCAAGACAGGATCTTGCTCTGTTGCACAGACTGGAGTGCATGGCATGATCACAGCTCTTCAACTCCTAGGCTCAAGCGATCCTCCCACTTCAGCCTCCTGAGTAGCTGGGCCCATAGGCATATGTTAGCACACCCAGCTAATGTTTAAAAAAAATTTTGTAGAGACTAGGTCTTCCTATAATGTCAAAGCTGGTCTTCAACTCCTGGGCTCAAGTGATCTTCCCACCTTGGCCTCCCAAAGTGCTAAGATTACAGGTGTGACCCACCAAGCCTGGCCAGAGTTCTTTATATATTCTGGAAATACATCTCTTATTAGATTCTTTGCAAATATTTTCTCCCACTCTCTGCATTATCTTTTCATATTTTTTAAATCTTTTCATATTTTTGATGGTATTATTCACAGCATAAAAATTTTTAATTTTGGTGAGGTCAAATTTATCTATTTTCTTGTTGTCACTTATGTTTTTTGTTTGTTTAACTATGTGCCAGACTATATGTCACTTATGTTTTTGTGTCATGTCTAAGAGGGCTTTGTGTAATCTTAGATCATGAAGATTTACATCTATATTTCCTTCTAGAAATTTTCTAGTTTAAACTCTTACTTTTTAGCTTATGATCCATTTTGGGTTAATTTTTGTGTGTAATGTAAGTGGTCTAAATTGATTTCTTTGTATGTGGATATTCAGTTATCCCACCACCATTTGTTAAAAAAACTATTTTTCTCCAATTTATTGTCTGCACCCTTGTCAAAAATGAAATGACCAAAATGTAAGGGTTTATTTCTGGAATTCAGTTCTATTCTAATGATTTATCTGTCTGTCTTTCAACAATAATCACAGTGTCGTCATTACTGCGGTTTTTTAGTAACCTTTAAAACAAGGAAATGTGAGTCTTACAACTTTTTTTTTTCTTTTTGAGATGGAGTCTTGCTCTGTTGCCAGGCTGGAGTGTAGTGGCATGATCTCGGCTCACTGCAACCTCTGCCTCCAGAGTTCAAGTGATTCGCCTGCCTCAGCCTCCCGAGTAGCTAAGACTATAAGAGCGTGCAACCCTGCCCAGCTAATTTTTGTATTTTTAGTAGAGACGGGGTTTCACCATGTTGGCCAGGATGGTCTTGATCTCTGGACCTCGTGATCAGCCTGCCTCAGCCTCCCAAAGTGCTGGGATTATAGGCATGAGTCACCATGTCTGGCCCTGTTTTTTTTGTTGTTGTTTGTTTGTTTTTTCAAGATTGTCTTGGCTATTCTGGATCCCTTATATTTTCATATGAATTTTAGGATCAACTTGTCAGTTTAAGACAGCTGGCTCAGATTTTAATAATGATTGCCTTGAATCTGTCAATCAGTTTGTGTGATTTTTGTCATGTTAACAGTATTATACCTTCCAATCCATGATTGTGGATAACTTTTCAATTTTTTGGTGACTTTAATTTGCATTTCTTTTATTCTTAAATATTTTATTCATTTTAATGCTATTGTAAATGAATTGTTTTCTTAGTTATCTTTTTGAATCATTCACTACTACTGTATAGAAATGCGGTTTATTAGGCCGAGTATGGTGTCTCATGCCTGTAATCCCAGCACTTTGGGAGGCCAAGGTTGGCGGATCACCTGAGGTCAGGAGTTTGAGACCAGCCTGGCCAACATGCTGAAACCCCATCTCTTCAAAAAAAAATACAAATATTAGCCAGGCATCGTGGCAGGCACCTGTAATCTGAGCTACTCAGGAGGCTGAGGCAGGAGAATCACTTGAACCCAGGTGGCAGAGGTTGCAGTAAGCCAAGATCGCACCACTGCACTCCAGCCTGGGTGACGAGAGTGAAACTCTGTCTCAAAAAAAAAGATATGCAGGCCGGGCGCGGTGGCTCAA